CAGACCACGTTTAGTCCTACAGGGTCTCCCTCTCGGAAGGGTCCAACAGGGGCTACGGGCGGCTCGCTTGCTTCGGTTATGGACTTGGCGAAACTCCAAAGCTTCCCGTGTGGCAACGTGAACTATGCGTACGATGAGCAGAGCTACGAGACTGAGAGTTTGCCTGTAGTTGTGTCCAAATCTGTGGAGCCCAGCACCAGCTCTTCAGCTACGTCTTCACTTGCTGCCCTCGGCCTGGCCATGACATTTACCCACAAACCACTGGTGAAACGCCATGCTAGCTACGGACATGAGGATGTAAGGAGGCACACCCAGTCTGAGAAGCCCATGAGGGACAGGGATTCTGGCTTTTCCTTGTCTGAAGACCTCAGTGTCACCCCGTGTAGCATTGAAGAATAGTCGGACTGAGAAAACACAAAATTTTTTGGTGTTATTTTGTTTTTGGCGCAAAGGTATTTTACTGCAATAACTGCAGTGGATTAGCTCGAGGCAGAATGGCAGGTTAAGGCTGGAATACACTTCACGAATTTTAAAACACTAGGCATCATACAGTACACTTGCTGAAACTAAGCACCACACACTAAAGGACTAAGATGCGGTCACTTTTTTTTCTTCACTTTTTTTTGCAGGCTAAAAAGGTTGATTGTCAATAGTGTAGAGACGTATCACACCAAAGTCACTTTCAAACCAAGCGGTTTTCTGTTGGTCAACATAGCGAATCCATGTGATCAACTTGAACCTGTTGCGAAATCTGCATGGGGAAATCTTTAGCCCTTGCGTGAAATTCTTAATTGAGTGGATTCCCATTGAAATTGACTTGATTGCACCAGCTAAAAACTTTGCAGAACAACTTCAGGACAATTTGACCTCACCTTGAAGATCACACATGTGCCTCGTTGATGGAGACGCATGACAAATGAAAACAATGTGTTCTAAAATTGGCTTAAAATATAAAACATGTCTGATACTCTCAGAAACTAGATGGTATCATGGTCTGAAGCTAAAAAATCAGTCTTTATCCATTATACACTACGCAATTTTCTGCAAAATCTGTGAGCGCCAAAATCTTCAAACTTTGGTAATTTGTGTCATTCTCATCCAGATGGCAAACTGGGGCAAAGATCTGAGGAAAAGTTTTGTAGTGTATTCCAGACTTTAATAACTGCCGGTTGGAAACTATGTGCAAGAGACAACATTATTGCTGTGTGGTACCAAAGACACGAGTCGTAGCTAATTTGCCATTATGAGGCGGCAAATGGCTGATGGTTTCTATGGAAACTTCCACTTGGCTAATAGCAGCCCTTTTACACTGGATTCTCATCTACTGTTAACACTGTGAAAACACATGATGTTCACTTTAAGGACCACATGAAGTGAGAAGTCCTTTTCTACTGATTAGTCATAATTACCAATGAATATATATGTAGGTTTAGATGTCCTTTACAAATTTGCATTTGGTTTTAAGTGTATATTACAGGAAGATCCAAAGCATGTTCAGACCTCACACAAATGGAAAATCCTACTCCATGCCACATAATGATCAGTCACCAAATCTAGTAATATTTAATTGATTTGTTAAAAAATAGCTGTTTGCTTTATTAAGTTATTTGAGTGACTTGACCAACTTTAAAAGAAACAAAAAAGGTTAGTGTAAAAAAAGGATGGTTCACAAAAAAATTAAAATGGTCATTATTTACTTACCCTCAAGATGTTCCAAACCTGTATGACATTCTTTCTTGGATATTTTCAAAAATATCTGATGAAATTAGTTTTTAAAGCGTTTTTTCTCCATACAACAAAAGTCAATATGTTGTTTTGGACTTCTGTAGCCAACCTGTCTGTATTTTCTCCTCTTTTAGAAAGTTGTGGAAACACTATCATGGATTTTTTTATTTTGATATTCACCACTATAAAAGTTTATTCAACTACTATTCGGCGACTTCCGCTTTTGAGAAACCCTGGAAATGTGAAAGAGGTCCATTGAAACACTCTTCAAAGTATCTTCTTTTGTGTTTTGCGGGAGAAAGTAAGTCATACAGATGTGGAACGACATGGAGATGAATAAATTATGACTTTTTTTGGGGGGTGGGCGTCCCTTTAAAGTTTAGCACTGTCACCAGTAACTCAGAGGTACAATAAAAAGGTGACAGTGTGTTGAAAGGTATTAGTAATAAAGAAATACTGACAGAAAGCACCTTTGATCTCAGATCAGGTGGACTTTACATGGTGTTTTGACTAGAAAGTAGCATTAAGGACCATTTATTTAGACTAGATTTAGTGTTTTGTCCTTTGTTTTGTCTGCTGTTAGCTTTGAAAAACCAACACATTTACAAACAGTATGTTGCCTTTTCACTGAGCGTGTGTTCTGTGTGCAAAACATTGAGATAATTGTGAGGCCTTCACAAAGGTGTTGCACCCAAATATGTTAGAAGTAAATGAGGGATGTGACGCGGGATATAATTGTTGTGGCTGCTGCAGAGATTGTATTGATTTACATGTCAATGCACTCCTCTAGGGAGCTCTTTTGAGACATTCTCAAAAATCAATCTCAAAAGAACTATTTTTATTAGTACATTTCCCTCAAAAATAAACAAGTAAATAGAAGTGTGTTTTATCTTTAGCTACCCTATGTGAATCGTGACTGTGTTCCTACAGATCACCTGCAGGCAAATTCCAAGTATTACACAAACCGCATAACACCTCAGTGTGCTAATATGATGCATGAGAAGTTTGATTTTGAAATTATTCTTCAGTATTTTTACTAATTATTCTCAAATATTTTATTAGATATTGTAGTTATTCGGTGAATAATGTTTTTTTGTGTGGCAAGATTTATTTGTGTGTGCATTTATTAGTTATTTTAGTTAGGGACTGCTGAGAAAAGCCTAATGCAAATTTACAGACAGATGAGACTGAAGTGTATTAGCACAATCTTAAGTGTATTTTTGTCTTGTTTAACCATTTAAATGTTTCATATTTTGACTGCCTTTTAAAGAGCTTTTTGTAGAATACTGGATAGAAGGGTAGAAATGGTTTTACTTTAGCCAGGAAAATTGAGTGCTGTAATATTGGATTAATATTCCTTTCACACTGAACTAACCCTTATGATATGTAGCTGTAATATGAAATCTCAGTTTTAATGGTGTTTGTTTTATAATTATTATTTTGTTGAGGTTATCACTGCCAATGTTCTGCATGTGTCTTGCTTTTTATAGAAGACTTTGCAGGGGTTAATTTCTAAACAGCCAGATTAGAAATGTACTATCACATAAAGTGAATTTGAACGTACTTGTACTACCTGTATTTTTTATGTTAAAAGATGGACATTGCTGCGTAATGGCAAACCTTAAATAAATTGTTTTTGATTATAATCCTGATATGAAGGACTAAAATGAATTTCAGAAATGCAGAATGATTGTTGAGCAGATGTTTTATTTATCACAAACATACTGCACAGGGAACACTGTAACAAAACTCACCTGCCCCCCTAAACAAAATAGTGTCACAAGGTTAAGTTTGTCTGATAATGAAACACTTTCAGTGGTGCGCAGGTAGAGAAAATGACAACCCAGGTTCTAAAAACCAATACAATATATCCATGAAATGCATCCATATATCCATGAAAGAATTTATAAGTCCACCCTTGATTGATCACTGCAGTCAAAACGATTAATATCATTCTATTGTACAATAAATGCACTAGTGTTGTGCATCATTCACATTGTATCACTGTATATGCATTCTACGTAACACACTTGAATGCATGTGCTGCACCTACTATACACTTCAGTTTGATGGTACTTTAAGAAACAGTCAGTTGTGCTAGTGTTTGCAGGGCCTAGACATTAAACAATGTTGCTTACAATTTTGTAAGCTTGATTTTGTCTAATATGAAGCGTGCAGAAATAAACAATTAATTTTGATAGATTCCAGCATGCAAACCCAGCCAAAGAAATTGGACAAGCTTGACTGATGTTGTTCCTCATTATCTTAAAAACTCCTTTTGTAGGCACATGTAAATTGTGCCCTCATATGAATTACTTTACAATAGAGATGTACCGATTGCAATTTTCTTGGCTGATTCCGATTTCTGATTTTTTTGTTAGTGTGATCTGCCGATACCGATTTTTGCCGATTCCAGTTTTCTTTCTAAGAACTATAATTGACTGCATATACAAACAAAAATCTACGGTTCTAAGTTTTATTTCCATAAAAAAATAAGTAAAAAGTCAGTAATAAAATAAGAACAAAAAAAACAAAAAAAATGCAAACAACAGCACAAATAAAAGTTTTTATTCAGTTAAGAAATACTACAGAAATTAAAGTAATCAAATGTAAAATAACACATCCAGTGTTATTTTACATTTGATCACTTTAATTTCTGTAGTCTTCATTGAAAAATTTTATATAGATTAATGCTTACCATTAAAGTTATAAAACGTATTCAGTCAAGAGCAGAAAATTATTTTCTTTGTCTTTTGTTCTTTGATTAACATGACAGACAGCAGCAGGAATCTCCGACTGCGGTCCCTTCAAGAGTTTATCCACAAACCCAATATACTGTTACACAACATGCGTTCTCTTTCTCAACTATTTAACATTCTAAAACTTACTGTGTTTAACTGGATACTCGCCAAAACTGGCATTTTGACAATTTTTTATGTAGGCTCACAAGCTGTTTGAGATTGAGCGTGGATTGTGTGCTCCACTAATATAGATCAGTGGTGGTGCGCGCGCGTTTGGTATAAGCGCGAAACCTGCGGCAATGACTAAAATAATGCGCAATACAAGCACTATTTAACCAGAGTGAATGAGACGTGTGTGAGAGAGAAGGGGTCGTCGGAGAGAAGAGAGCGAGAAAGCGCGGCTGATGTTATTGCCTGTGCCGCTGCCCGCTGGTAACAAAACGGATCGGCTCGGAATCGGAAAGAAGTGAGACTGACCGGCCGATCACCGATCCGGGCCGATCATGACAAAAATCGGCCGATTCCGATCCCTGGCCGATCGATCGGTGCATCTCTACTTTACAAACTACATTTTGTCTTCAACCTTTTTTTTGGACTTTGGGGAAGAGTAACTGTATTATGACAACAAACAAATGTGCATTTATGAAAACCATGATATGGGTGAAATGCTTTTACAGCTTAACACTGTAAAGTAATGGACTATGTCACTGGTAGCCTCCCTATAATGCACTGCAGAAGGTTTAGAAGTGTCTATCAGCATGCTGTTGCTGTCACGCGAGAAGTTTGCAGTAAGAAGGTCACTCCCTGGCCAACGAGGAAAGGGTTTGCAGCAGGTTGTCCAAGCCCCACAAGTATCCGTCTTCTCGGTTGCCCTCCTCCCAGGGTCTGTAGTGATCCAGGTTCTGTCCGTCTGGGAGCGGTGTGGTCTTACCAAAATCAATGAGCCAGACTTCAGCTCTCTCTGTGTGATTGTGAATGAAGAGAAGCGAACTCCCGATTACCTTAAAGACATGAAACATTTTTGAGGTGGGCCGTATCATATGGGGGAAAAAACACCATAGTTGAAAGTGCCATTCAAACATTTGAGGTCAGTAAGATTTTTTATGTCTTTGATGGCAGTTGCTTATGCTCAGCAACGTGACATTTATTTAATCAAAAATACAGTAAAATTGTACTGTAAAATATTATTACAATTTAAAATAACTGTTTTCTATTTTAATATATTTTCAAATGTAATTTATTCCTCTGATGACAAAGCAGAATTTTCAGCATCATTACTCCAGTCTTCAGTGTCACACGATCCATCAGAAATCATTCTAACATACTGATTTAGTGCTCTCAAGAAACATTTCTTACTATTATCAATGTTGAAAACAGTTGTGTTGCTCAATATTTTTGCATAAACCATGACACTTTTTACTAAATTCTAAAAACTATTTTTTTTTTACAGGATTCTTTAATGAATATAAAGTTAAAAAGAACAGCGGTTATTTGAATGCATAAACCATGACACTTTTTACTAAATTCTAAAAACTATTTTTTTTTTTACAGGATTCTTTAATGAATATAAAGTTAAAAAGAACAGCGGTTATTTGAAATAGAACATTTATGAAACATTATAAATGTATTTACTGACTTCAATTTAATGTGTCCTTGCTGAATAACAATATTCATTTATTTCCTAAAATCTTACCAACCCCAAATACTGCAGTACAGTACAACATTAATATGGTGCATAATGAATCAAATAAAACATATATTCTTAGACATTAAGTAGCTAGATATTAATTTTAAAATTGTTAACAACTCAATCCTTGTTTTTTACTCCCTTAGTATGTTCACTAATTAGATATTAATTGGAAGTGTATTGCAATACAGTACAGCATTAATAAATAATATACAAATTTTTTTTTAAAAAGTCAGATTTTACCTCGTGTTTCTTGAAGAACTCTGAGGCTTTCAGTGCCTGTTTAATATCTTCAAGCCTTGTAATATAGGAGTTCTGTTAGGTAGGTGAAGGAGAAGAGCACAGCATGAATCAGTAATTCAACTAGAATTATGCTAGAAGTTATTTTTCAGTACTTTTTCAGTATTTTTCAGTATTCACTGGAGTGAGGCTCCAATTACACAAGGACACCTTATAAGTGCAGTTAATTTGTTTCAGATTTTTTCTGTTGAGGCATTATATATTCCTACGCTTGCCTGTTTTAAAATAAGTATATCCTTTAAATATAATGACTTTAAACCATATAGACCCCATATTGAACAGATGAGCTTTTATGATACTGTTTTATCTGCATTATGGGAGCAACGATAGCTGGCCTTTTTACATCAGACGTATATATATCCTGGATAAAAAGCACTTAAGGTGTTCATTAAGACACAAAGAGAATATTGCTCCATTGAAGTGTAGGTGTGCATGCATTATATCACAGAACAGGTTGGTCTAGTTCTCAAGAACTCACGTACAGTTATGTTTTTATTGCCCTCGACGAAATCCTTAAAGACCTGAATGACGTCTTCCTTTGACCGGGTCTTTTTAAAGTCTGTCTTGCAGGTTTCCCCCCTCTGAAATAAGACAATGTAAAAAAATCAATGTATTGTGTCGAATGTAACAGGGAAAAAAAGTCAGATGAAGAGCTGTTACTGACAAAAACAGCAGGTTGAGGATAATACAGTGTTCAAAAAAAGCTGTCACTGAGGCAGTGCCATTTCAAAAGGTACACTTTTGTACGTACTAATATGTACACTTTAGGTAGTAATATGTACCTTTAAGGTACCAATATGGACAAATGTGTACCTTTTGAAAAGGTTCTGCCCCAGTGACAGCTTTTGTACAAAACATGTCAGTTAATACGTGAATTCTTGTACACTTAATAGTGTTTAAAATGATTTGTAAATGATCTTAAACTGATTTGTGTTAGTACATCAAATGATTATTATTACATTATTTTATATTTGAATAGTTTTGTTGTTATAGGACATTAATTATTAATCAAGTATTACTAAAACTATAGAATAATAATTAGTTATAATTGTGTGTATTTATTTCTTTATGTATTTAATAGTTTAATATGAAGTGTTATTATTATTAATAATATAGAATATTAATAATGAATATTACAAGTTAATATTAATTCATTAATATTACAAGTACAAGATTCAAAGTCCTGATTTTCAGCTGAACTCAAATTCTGCCAGCTGTGAACAAGCAGGCTGTGATTTTTAGGCACTGTGGCTACCTTGATACCCTCAATGCGGAAGCCCAGAGAGTTAGTAGAGCTGAGACTTTCTCTCCACTGCATATAACGTGGTTTGGTAACAGCCTTCTGTTTCTTCTCCTCCGCTGTAGGAGCCTCTCTGTCCACCTCCAGCATCTTATTATATAAGTCTTCACGCAGCTTTGGCTTCACCCTGGCCCGCACCAACTCCTCCTCCAGATATGTCCTGAAAAAAAGAAAGAAAGAACGAAGTAGATTTTTAAATAACCTAATAGAAAGGTCAATTAATCATGCCTGAAATGTTAATTCAGTCATCTGCCGTTTTTATTTTTTGCATGCTTGAACTTTACTTGACTTCCTGTGTGAGAAGAGGAAGTCACCAAGGGACTCCTTGCATAAAATGTCTCTCAGTGTGTAAAAAGAATGCGTGAAGTGTGTGTGAGAAGGAAGGAAGCCCTCAGGGACGCCCCGTGTCTGCCTCGCTAAGTGTGCATCTAAGTTTTGACTGCATGTGCACAGGAAGTGGTTATTATTGTTGTGCGAGGGCCTCTCTCTCTCCTCATGAGCTCCACCCATCGCCCTGACAGGATGCAGGCCAACAACCAGAACAGGTGTAAACCTGCCACGCACAATATATTAGCATGACTATAAAAAGGAAAGAATGACACATTAGCAAAGCAAGTAATACGTTCTGTGTTTTATTTAATAAGAATCATTTGAATATATTATTACTATATTTAAAAAATAACATTAATAGAATATAATTAATTATAAATATAATTAATAATAACTAATATATAATTAATATGATTCATAGTATACAGTATATTTAAATATTTGCACTGCTCTTTCTATTTCAAATAAATGCTGTGCTCTTTCTATTAATTAAAGAATCCTGACAAAATGTATTGTCAGAAATATTAACACAATTGTTTTCAGAAATGTTTCTTAAACACCAAATCAGCAGATTGGAATGATTTCTGAAGGATCATGTGACACTGAAGACTGGAGTAATGATGCTGAAAATTCCGCTTTACCATCACAGGAATAATTACATTTTAAATTATATTAAGATAGAAAATTGTAAAAAGTCACTTCAAACTGTAACAATGTATATTAATATTTCAACATTTTACTGTGTTTTTGAAAAAGAATAATAATAACAAAAATACAGCCTTGGTGACCATAAGAGACTTTAAAACACTTAAAATCTTACTAACCCTAAACTTTTGAACAGTATTGTATATCATTCAGTTGATTAATTAACATGAATCTTATTTTTTTAATCTCAGGTAATTAAGTTTAAAGTGATCTGCATAATTAATTTAGCTTACATTTTATTTGATTGGGTGGTTCTGTGACTATTCTTTTAAAATGTAATGAATGATTCAAACTTGTTTTGATTGATCATACAGAAAAAGTCAAACTCATGAAGCTCTAAATGTGTTTTTTCCACACGCATTCCCTGTATCACTTGTAAACATTATAATATACAAATACATCATAACAAATAAAGTATGGGAAAATTAACAAATGCCACTCAAAATATAAAGTAAATTCCTTTCTTTGGCAATAAATAAATAAACAAACAAAACAATGACTACATAAGTTTCTTATGCTCGTTAAGACTGCATTTATTTGATACAAAATACAGAAAAAACTGTAATATTGTGAAATGTTATTGCAATTTAAAATAAGTACTATTTTTCATTTCTATGTTAATATACTTTAAAATATTAATTCCTGTGATGATTTTTTTTTTGTTTGATGCTTTGATGAATAAAAAGTTTAAAAGAACAGCATTTATTTCAAATAGAAATATTTTGTAACAATATACATTATCATTCAAAAGTTTGGGGTCAGTAAAATTTTTTCTTTCTTTTTTTTTTGAAAGAAATTAATACTTCTGTTGTGAATGTGTTAAATTTATTTAAAAAAAATGTGATAGTAAAGACTTTGTTAGGAAAGATTTCTATTTTGAATAAATGTTGCTCTCCACACACACACATTTAAATAAATACTTTAAAATAAACATTAATTAGTTTGATATTATGTTGTTTTCAGAAACATTGGGATCCAAAATAGTAAATGAACAAAAATTTTCTTTTTTGATTAATTGCTTAGCCCTACAATAAAAATAGTTTTGATATAAAGATTCTTTATACTTTAACATTAATTATCATGTACTGTACCTTACTAAATTGTAAAAAATAAAATGTAAGAAGAAAAAAACCCTTTAGGAAAATGGATACTGCAGGTGTTGAAATGGTAAGGGTGTAGCTGAAGTGCAGTGTTTGTTCTTCCACGTGATATGGAAAGAAACATATTTGTTACTTTCTATCTCTGCTGATGTGCTGATGAAGCAGATGAGTGAAGTTTGTCAACATATGTGTACCTCAGGTTAGGGCTGGACGATATGGCCAAAATTGATATCACGATATATTTTATTGTCCAGGCCTACCTCAGGTACAAAAGCTGAATGGAAAACCTTCTTTACAATACAGTGTGCAGCAATTATTATTGAGCCTTTAAAATTGATGTGGTACATAAAACTTTGCTTTGGGGGGTTGGACAAGATCCAGAGAGTACATCTTATTTAAAGTCATGCAGACTGCGTACGGCCCTGTATAAATACAGAGAAAAGCCATAAACCAAAGGCTATGCCCTGCACTTTGTGAAGCTGTACATACACATTTTTAACACACCCATAACTAAATATTGAACTGGACACTCATGCAGACAATTCAAACATTGTGGTGCCAACTCTCAAACAACTACCATTCACGTTTGATAAAAATGTGACACGTTTCTACGACAACATAAAAAGCTTTACCTTCAATAAACATATCTACTGAATCACCAAAAAAAAAAGAGTCAACACTCATCTGTTTGGTCTCTTTGCTACTAAAAATGGCATTTTAGCAGTAATTAGAATTTTTAATACAATTATATTTCATTATTAAAAACGAGGCATTTATGACTTAAAAATAAAATATTAAAATATAAAGCTAATAGCTGAACATGACATCTTTGGTATCTTTTATTTACTAGTTAGACAAAAAGACACAACTCAGTTTTACCATGACTACATTTTGAAGCACATTTTTACTACAACAGAGGATTGTCAGTTTTTGAAAAAAATAACAATAAAAAGAATAATTTCAAATGTGAGTATTAAAATCTGTTTAGTTAATAAAACTGACCTGAGCTGCTCTACCATCGAACTGCGGGTGGAAACTTGTTTGTGACACTGTGGCTTCTGCTTAAATGTCAAGCTGCAATGAGTTTATGTTTTGATATAGGCTGATAAAAAGTGTTTGTCACTGTATGTGTTTTCCTTCTCAGAATAGGTGCCTGCTACAGCTCTGCGCAAACATTCAATTTATAAGCTCTAAATGGCTTTTTACAGTGTCATTGAGCTTGACTTTTATTGGGCCAAAGAAGATGAACATTGATCAGTTCATTCAGTGCAAGATGTGTAACTTTCCGAAAAAGAAAGAGTAGATACTACGCAGACATGGTGTCAAGATTTACAGAGGCAAAGTGTTTAAAGTACAATGACAGCAAAGGCCTTCTATGGCTGCGATGAGGACCACAAAACATAAGACATCCATTCCGAATAATCACATGGCAGAAGTGAGAAACAAAACAGAGACGACTGGTGAGATTTATCTATTAAGCACTGTGTTAAAAAATATTACTTCTACATTTTTATTTGCTCTTCTTTTTAAGACTTTTATAGTCCTTTAATTTACATTCACCCTTACATTCATGCATTTGGCAGATGCTTCAATCCAAACTGGGATTTAATGTATTCAAAGTAACTTTCCCATCCATTAACTGCAATATTTTCTAAAAAATTTGCAAAGGTCATCACTTTCACCTCTATTTCAGAAATTAACAGCATGTGAGTATGTATATGAAAAAAAGGCTTTGGCACATAGCGGTTAAGCCTGTTGAGCTTGTTATTTTAACACTCAAAGTGCTGCCAGCTTATTAAAGCTGCACGCCTGTGATATTTGCCCAACTCAAACTACATTGAAGATGCTTAATGCAAACAAAAAATAAACAATTCCGATAAAAACTCTGAACAGCCTACTTTGTAAACAATGAAGGAGAAACTTATCGAACTGCAATGGATGGATGGATGTTTCCGTTATATTTTTTAGCTATTTACTACTGCAAATATTTCATCAGAAAAAACATTGAAGAGCCACATGATACAAATCTAGCCGCAAATGCCATGTGTCATGTCACAGTAGTTTTGAATTGGCAACGCAGTGAACAGACACGCTTTCACAATTAGGAGCAAGTACAGACAAACACCCACACAAACGTACCATAATCATGACCTTGCACGAGCTCTTTAAAGCTATTGATTGAACACAAAGCTGTTATTGAATATGAAGAGTTCAATCAAAAGTTTTCTAATGCCTCAGTTATAAGTACAAAAAATGAAATTCCTCAAGATACAACGACAGGTGTCAGAAGCCTCATTGGCAACTCACAAACAGATACAAAAGATTTCATAACTTTCAACAAGACAGTTCCTCATTACTAGTCTCATGTTCTCATGATGGGTTTCAAATTGTCTGCTTTTATTTTAAGAAGAGATCTGTAAGAATAAAGAGCCCATAATTTAATTCACCCCAAGTCTCTCCAGAAGTCTATATATACTATATAATAAATGAATCACAATAAAAATGTACGATTATTTCTTATATATCTTATAGTTGTCACATATGTAAGCCTTAACTATATCTCAGTAAGGTTTTGAGTCATAAGTCCACTTACACAAATATGTGATGCTCTAGAAGTGGTTTTGTATGTGGGTTTTAAACACCTATTTTAATTAGGTCAAAGCCCTAGTTTTGGTTGGAAAAATATATATTTTTCCCCAGATTAAACTTTCATAATTCGCATAAAAATGTAAATATATAATATATATAAATAAACAATAACAATATAAATAAATTATAACAAATGTATAAAATTGTCCAATACAAAATTGTCCCCCCCCCCCCATTTTTTTAAATAGGCATTAAAGTGCACTATCCAAACTTGTTATAATTCATGAACACTTTGGTTGAGAGGTTGGTCTCTTTTTAAAGAAGACAGTTAGCAGATTATTGGAGAAGTGGAATTATTTAAAAAAAATTAAATATCAAAAAGTTATACAAGTTTAAATTTATTGTAAAGAAAATGCACTGTACAGTTTTTATTATATTTTATATAAAATAAATATTTGACATAACAGGTTTTACTCTAAAGTTGCTAAAATAAATAAATAAAATAAAATAAAGCCTTATGTCTAAATAAGTTATGTTCCAAATTTGAAGATGATATGAAAAAAAAATGGAGGTTTCTGTGAGATTTTATTTAGGGCGTTATACCACAAACAGCCACCGGGTGCCATCCAAACTCCATTGAATTTTTTTAATGCATTTTTCTGTCACAAATGTCTAGATTTCTCTGTCAATATTAAATATGTCAAATATCAAATATGGAATCCTGAGACTCAGACCTTTCCAATTATATGTTTTATGTCAAGATTATAAAACATTTTGATTGTAAAAGACCGTTATGCATTTTGTAATATAACACTTGGCACCGCCTGTTAAGGGGGAGGAGACCACCAAAACATTTTAAAGCACCATTCCCATGGTAACGCAATGTCCGATTTCAAAATGGTTTTCACAGAATGAATCTTGGACTTCTATGCTTTCAAACGATATATAATTTATGATGATTACTAAAATATTTGATAGAGAAAAAGGACAACAATATAAAAGAGCGCCAAGCGTCCCACAGGTGGGACGGTGACAGTTAAGGGGTTCATTAAATCTGTTGTGTTTTTTAATTTGCTGAAAATCCCATTACAGGATGCCAAATGTCAGGTTCAAATGTGTCAACTTGCCACATATAGTCTGATAACATGACCCACTATTGCACCAGGTTATCACAAAAGATCAACATCTGTTTAATGAACTCGATTCCTTTTCCCCCTGTGCAATAACGGTTGAAATATACAGCTTTTTGCAGCCAGAACTAGAACTAGAATGTTGACTCTATACTGAAAAATATTCACAAGAGTAAAAAGTGCGACAACTAGTCACTTTACAAACTATAACACCTACCTCTGTCTACCCAGTAGTTCGTGCCTTCTTTATATATGATAGCACGTGAATGACTACATAACCTACCTCTCCTGAATCTACCGAGTCCCCCAAATGCTCGAGAGTCACGATGCCTTTGCTTTTGGTCTCGTTGTCGCTGAGGAAGTCATCCTCCGACTCGTCAAACGCTGTGGAGGAGCCGTTGGAGGAGATGGAGGAGTTGGAGAGTTTGCGGCGCAACCGTCCGTTCACCTCCTCCTCCAGATCCTCCTCAGTGATCTCCCGTGAGTCCCCATCAGACGTGATGGTCACCTGCGGAACTAGGTACCCTCTCCCCGGGTTACCGTCGGAGAAAAAGCCTGCTTGCCCACTGTACTGTTCCGCCATCTGTGCTTGATCATCACAATTCTCTGCGGATGAAAAGTTTCCTGCGCGTCTTCCTCCTCCTCCTCTCCCTGATCCGTCGCAAACCGGAGACGAATGTGAAAACACCGCCTCTGTTTGGGCATCGAGGTGCCTGGAGGGCTCAGAATATGCTATCCCACCTCTGTCCGAGGGGCCACACACTGCGATAGTGAGAGGGGGCCCCTAAAGTAAAGCCAGCGTGTCAGAGGCTTTGTTTCCAGTAAGTTATGTAACAAACGATCTCCATCCAGATAGCTTTGTTTGGCTTAGCGTGAGTCCGTGGACTCAGATTCACAGCCTGGGAGCCCCTGTAAACAGCGCTTAACACACATCTTCCGCGTTTGAAGCGTGTCCCCGCTCTTCCTGACTTTTAATTTGACTTTTGCTTGGTAGCGCATTTCCTTATTCAGTGTAGTATTCGACCACACTGCTGTTTATTGTCTATTCGTGTAGACATCGGGCCGGACTTTAAATATCAAAATAACAAGGAATGTAGTCTGCATGTTACAAATGTAGTTAAAAGTAAAGATACAATTATTCAAAATCACATGAATTAGGTCTACTATGATTTCATTCAACTATGCTGAGATATACAACAATGTTATAAAGCATCGTATATTATAAATGATTTTCTAACTGTTGTTGATCAGATTTATGCTAAATTACAATTAGAAATATGCAAACAATAAATGCCCCAAACAGCTTAAATACTATTTAATATCTAATCCTTTACTGAAAATATCTCATTCTCATTCAAGTTGACTAGGGTAGCTATATAATTCATTCATACATGTTGTGGTTGTCAGAATTTGAAGGGAAAAATCAGTGAAACAAGCATTTTGGTGACTGTATATTTTAGAAACTGTAGGCTATCTCATTAAATTATATAATAGGCTACTATCTATTGGAGCTATTCAATCTGGTTGTTACTGTAAAATGTAGCCAACTGATAATAAAACAGATGTATAATGAAAGGTCACATGATGACGTAAAATTAATCAGAATTGCCCTTTCCAGTAACTGTGGTCATACAAACGCAAAACACATAACACACGGCACAAAAATAATGAAACAAACGTCAAATACATAACATAAAACATTTCAATGTACATTCTGGGTACGACCATTTCACCTTAAATGATAATGCATGCACTTTTTATTTCTAAAAACACTGTTATCAACAATATTTTACCCTGATTTGTTAAATATAATATCGATTTTCTCTGTAAATTAGAACGTAATTCTACTTCTATTTGTATGTACTAAAACATTTGAAAGGAAAATCCCATTTAAGCTATTGTTTATTAGGCTAACTGACTGTGATCTTTCCTGTTAAGGATTATAAAATATTATTTCATCTGCTTAAAAATATTTGTAATCATTTTTACAGTACCTGTATGTTAAGGTAACTTACAGTTAAGTTTTTATAGCATCTTAATGTTGCTTTCCTACAGTGTTTTGTGATAGTTGTCATAGCGTTGTGCTGTAGTTTGTGCTTCCTCGCAGTAGGGGGCAGTAAAGCTCTAGTGGCAGGTAAAGGTCACGCACACAACACAAGAGAAGCAGAATGCAATTCTTTCCAGAGCATTTTAGTGAAGTTCAGGATTGCTTTCCTGCACTCTTCAACTATCCGAGTGCAATTGCATAATTAACTCAACCGTTTTTGCCTGTTTTGTTCTGCAGTTAGTGATGGGAAACCGAGGCTTTCTGAACCGTTTGAGGCTTTCATCAAATTGTGCCGAAAAACGGTTCATCACTCGACGCTTTTTAACACAGTGCGCATTAGCGACATCTGGTGGTCAGACTCGGTTTCTCCAGCATATCTAACGAAACATCGTGGAGCAGAGGATGGTTTGAAAAAGTTTTTAATCTGTGCCAACCGGTGGCAGCTCGTGGGTTTTAAAATAGAGGAGGCACTAATTGTATTGGTCTGGGGATCCCTGCCGATTATTATTATTATTATATTATTATTATTATTATTATTATTTGATTAACCACTTTGAAATGGCTTTTTGGTTGCTTTTAGTCAGAACACGTAAAGAAAACGACATACATACAGCAAGATAATATAACTTCACTTACCTGGTCTGTCACTTCAGTAACATGTTATGATTATGGTATTACAGCTGTGAAATTACAAACAAAAAATACACATCCTGAGACATGAACTGAAATGAATTGTGAATTTTATTAACATTAAATCGTCCTCCTCCCATTTTCACCTCAAAATTTTGGGGAAGCTGTGCCTCCCCCGACGAGCCGCCACACTGGTCATGCTTAGTCCGGTCAATGGATTCACATATTGATCAATAATATAAAATATACAAGTGTGTGATTATAATTAATAATTGACGTGAGTAGTAGCAAAAATATTTTGGGTGAGCTGTTCGGGGTCTCTGAGACCCCAGCTAGAACATGATCAAATGCAATAGAGGTGTGACGTGCATTCAGTTTCTGTCTGGTGTTGAGGTTATTCTAAACTATTCTACTGAATCCCAAATAAGTGTACACACACACACATACACACACAGGTTTGTTTTTGTGAAAAGTGGGGACATCCCATATGCAATGGTTTTTCTACTGTACAGACTGTATTTTCTATCGCCCTACACCAACCCTACCCCTAAACCTACCCCTTACAGGAAACGTCATTCTTGAGACATGGGACAAAACAGGTCTAGCAAGGGTAAATGCTATTAGGTTTAAAAATACAAATATTTTACATTTGAAATGTCATGAGGGATTAATAATAGAATGTATTTAACACAATGTGCACCTTCAATTTAATTTTCTCATTATTATACCAAATCTGTGTTTCTTAATGTCCTCTCACTACAACTAAAACAGTGTGTCCACAGAGAAGGGTTCAATCATTCATATGCAATAAAATGTTTTTTTTTATGATGAAAAAGAGCTTGTTTTATCAAAAGCAACACTTAATAATATCTCCTATCAAAGCAAGGTTTTTTTTTAATGACACATGCATGTTTCATAAGATTTTAAAGTTGCGTCCCCACTTTTTGTCAACACCCTCAGACATTCAATAAAATGTAATAAAATCAGGGAATATCAGGGGCAGCTGTCACTCTAAAGGACCCCCTTGCCACAGTTCACCTCCGCAGAGTACATCAGTGTCAGACAGGCTCTGCTTAGTTTTATAGTTCCATTAGCATCTAGCATCAACAGAAAAAAATAAAATGGCTACCACATGAACCCCATTGGATTTGTGAAAGAAATGCCAAATTTGTCAACTCCGTCAGATGTCACCACCATAAGATTTTGTGTTCCAATGATATATCAAAATACTTAAATGTGACTCTTGAATAAAAGCTTTATAAACAATAACATACTCACTGTTTGTTGTGTTTGTTTTAATACAGTAATTGACTGATTCAATGTATTTGATAGTTAAAATTACTACAAATTCAGGTTTTCGTCACCACCGTCAGATGTGTCAACTCCGTCAGTTGAATATTTTGATAATATTTCATTATGATATTTTATATTTGTTGTGGAATTGTTGGTCACATGTGAACGTGTAATCTGTCTGCTAACACCAGAATGTTTTTTGAAAAACATCTTGAATGCTGTTAAAGATAAAGTTGAAATTATATTACACAATCCAAGGTAAAAAAAGCATATTTTGTTAAAAAAGAGAAAAGTTGGGAGGTTGTATCAAAGCATAGCTCAGTAGCTTAGTACATATAAGATACATAAATGTAGTTTCATTTGTCTGAGTACAAGGTTTTATTTTTTTAATTTTGAACCCTGTTTTGTCCCACTTCTCAAGAATGACTGTGCTATTTCAGATTTTCAATACACTCCATTCTGTGTGATTTATAAGCGTTTTGAAAAGTGGGGACATGGGGTTATGTCCTGAAAAGTCACCTTCTCCTTGTAATACCTATGTCATACCTTTGTCATTATACAAATTTATGTCCTCATTTGTCACAAATCGTGCACGCACACACACATTTTTAAAATGTATTTATTTTATTAACAAGATCAAAATACATGTATATGACAAACACTATACATGATATAAACAATAAACATTATACATTAAATAAACAATTTCACACTAGAGGGGCTGTATACAAATACAAATTTATATAAAAATATTAAAGCGTTAACAAACTTTCACCGTTTTAATTGCTTTTTGTTTCATAGAAAATCGTATAGTATCAATATAATGCTCCATTTCCTTCCTAAAAGAAAAAAAACAGTTTTTTTGCATGAGAACTTACATTTGTGAATATTACATTTTGCATGTAAAAAAAACAAGATTTATCATGTAAACGTGACTGTGCTTTTCTTTGCTGTTCTCCAATGTACCAAATAATACAACTTTCCAAAACAAAAATTCTTGTCTGATGTTTAAATAACATACAAACTTCAGGAGAAATAGCCCCAAAAACTTTAGCATAGTCCCCTGGTGTAACAGGAGTCTTATAATGTGCCAAAAACTCACCATAAGTAAAAAGAAAACCATTCAAATGAAATAACTGATCCACCAATATGATGCCTTTATCAAACCAGTGTTTTAGATAAAGTGATTTGTGCTCATATAATATATCCATATTGTTCCATATATAGTACCTATGAGGTGAAAAATTGTGCTTGTGGATCAAAGACCATGATAAAAAGGCCTGACCGTGAAATTCAGCTAGTTTTCCTGGTATTTTATCAATATTATAATTACAGCTAAGAAAAAAAAAGTATAACACCAAATTTTGATAGAGTATGGGAGGGAATAAAACACCAAATGGAATTAGGATTTGTAACAATTTGTTAAACCCAATTAACCTTACAACCGACCTTCCGATACACCAATCACGTGGTATTGTCATCTGTTCTAAAACGGCGTGTTTTGATTGGACAGGATCATTATATACAGTATGTCCTTTATTAGCTTTGATAGAAACCCACTGGAAAGTCATTACACCACTTACAGAAATCTGCTATTGAACATGTTGCATCCGTTTGGCCATGGTACTCTCATGGTGTTTTGGACATGTATCAGTTCTGAAATGAGGAGGCAAATGTCCCACTTAGTCCAACATAAATTAATGATCCAGTTCTCTTCTGTGTTTTAATGGTGTCCATGTTAAATGTGTATGAAATAACCTGTTTCTTTGCACTTTGTGTATTTTAATACAGTACCCTGATAGCACACCTCATGGAGACGTCTATTTGACATCTGCAAGACGCATTAGAAAACGTTTAGAAAATATCTTTAGGATGTTTATGATTTAGAATGTAAAACTGACTTCTTAAAGACGTCTATCAGATGTTTGTACACATCAGATGCTTTCCAGATGAAGCGATCTTTA